GAGGATGGGTGTCTCCACACAAGTATTCTTGTTGTCTACAGCTATGGTGACAACCTTGGGCTCGGAGAGCCATTTGCTCCTGTCCAGTCTCTGGGGGCAAATCATCAGCCATATGACTCCACTAAGACTTCATGAGACCTGGTGGAGATTCCTGACCTTCCCTCAAGTTTTCTCCCCCACACTGGGGATGGCGTGGCCCTATAAAGTGTTACATTAAAGTGCTAATAGCAGTTTGTCCCTTGATTTCAGCAATAAGGGTAGGTGTATACACACAACCACATACAACTGAAGAGGAAAGAACCTTTAGGGGATCAGTCAAGAATGTTTAAAAATTTCCTTCAATGCGGATATTCTTTTCCACATATATTTACAACTCACTGATGGAATGTAACCCTGACTAAACCCGAGAAGAAGGCCTCCATTCAGATATCTTTCACTGGAGAGCATTGGTACATGCAGCTGTCCTACTGCGGACTGCTGTTTGTTTTAACATTTCCCACTGAGACTAAAGAATGATAAGTAAACAGAGATACCCACAATAAATGCCAAGTCTTGTTTGCAGAGTAAATTGTGTGCTTAGACTTAGAGGAATCTTTGCAGGGTAAACACTGCCAGTGATGTGCACTAGAGCAAGTGAAGAAAAAAGAGCAGACATGAATGGTGACTTCACTGGAATGGGATTTCACTGACAGGAGGGGGACAATGGGTGGTTAAAACGGTGGGAGGAAAAACAAGGGACACAGGATCCACACACTGGAGTCTGATTTTTTTGGCATTTTTCACAAATGAAGAAATCCAACCTCTGCCCTCTCCCGTGAATTAGCTAATGACTTGACTAGTCGTTTCTGAAATAATTCGATTTCTCTTCTCTTTTTCCTTCAGTCTTTTTGTGTTTAGAAAGAAACATTCTAACAAAGAGCCATTTGTTCTCATCCGTCATCAGGTTTCATTCTTTAATTTTCCATTCCCTCCCTTCCCTCAACTTGAAGAGAATAGCAACAATTAAAGGGAGGGGCTCCCACGTTCTGGAGGTTTGGGTTTCAGTGGCTGCATAGAAGCAGAAATGCAAATGTCAAGTCCTCTGTCCTCACCCTGAGACAGTCATCTAGAATTACACAGCCAGGCCTAACATGGCCCTTCCCGGACAGTAATGTACAAAACCCCCTATCTTCCTTGAAGATTGCCAACACACTCTGCTCAGCAGAGACCCAATGCAGCACACAGATAACACGGAGAAAGATTCCATCCCTACAAACTGCTTCTATGGGGCCGCACTGGGCCAACTAACAAGTTGCTCTTCACAGACCCATGTATCCAGGACCTGGTCATTTGATGACAGATTGTTGTTGCCACATCGCCCGTTCCCTGCCCCCCTCCCTTACAATCCAATGATGTACAGACACATCCTTCTCCTTAGTAGTAAGGTCTTAAGTCTGCCAGACATTTAAACACCACCCGACTATGTTTTTTCCATTGATGATGCAGTTCTCAGCGTCTCACACCATTCTCACTGGAATTTGTCAGGTCTTCAATTTCAAAAACAAAGAATTTTTTCCCCATAAGGAATGAGGCTGGAAGAAGTTTTGCAACATTTAAGGCTGGGTGTCCATGTGTTCAAGAGTTATGCATCCCTTCCCACCAATGGTTAAAGAGCATATGGAAAGCTTTACGGCCAGGCACTAGACAGGTTAACAGCAACCCGAATGAAGAATACTAAGAGTCACACTCACTCCACAGCTAAATAGTCTTTCCTACAAAGATACTTTGTATCTACAATAAGAAATGCCATACCAATCTGTCTCACCCAGTATCCTGTCTTTAGGCAGTGGCTGGTGCCAGGTGCCCCAGAGGAAACGAACAAAACAGATCCATCCCCTGCCCTCTAGTCTCAGCTTCTGGCAGTCAGAGGCTTAGGAACACCCAGACCATGGAGTTGCTCATACAGAAGTAGTTTCCCATCATATTTTTCTGCTGTTGCTGATGTGTTTAGGTGGCATATGGCCTGAATACTGCTTGTTAAACAGTGACACACTTAGCACAGTGATTAACACTGAAAGATTAATTGGGATTGGGGTAGAGACTTATTTCATCCTAATCTAAGGGGTTTTCTTCAAAACAAATAATCATTGGTGGCTGCAGCCCCATTTGACTGTTTTGTTACTAATTCCACTAGCTCAGCTCCCCAGCCCCGTCAATCACTGTGAAGCATCCAAACTAATGCAGTTAAACTCAAATTCCTCTGAGACAGCTCAGCACTTAAGTCTGTATTAGTAAGCTATTTTGTTCAATTGGTACTGGTCAAGATCTTAGCCTTTCAGCAGAGGTACCAAGCAACAGGTTTCAAATCACAGCCTGGGTTACACTACACAGAATCTGTGTCCCAGACCTGAACCCTCAGACACAAGGGTCTGCCTCTCCAATGTACACCTTACACCAAAAAAAACAAAACAAAACTTGACTGGCTGTGACCAGAAAGTGCCAGATCCTGGCCCAGAGAAAAAGCCAAGTGTGCAATAGCAAAACGTATCCAGACACAATTCAACAAAATCCCCTAATCGCTCCAAGTACAGACCACATTTCCCCAGCTGCTCTCAGCCCTGGAAAGAAAGGAACCGTCAATAACCTGAGCAACGGTCACTTGGTACAAGGAGAGGGTGCTGGCCCGGGGACTGGTTACAAGGTTTCTAAAGCCCAGCAATGCCGGTGGGAGGAGGCACTTCCACAAGTGGGAACAGACAGAGGCTACCTCGGAAGGGTTAAGTTGTGGGGTGGGAAGAATCTAAGGTCACATACTGTTTCCTAACACAAGCAACGCTGCTACTGTACCCCACCTAGTGGCACTAGTTCAAGATGCCCAATGTAATGTATTGCCTTTTTAATATAAGTAGCGGTCATCTCGACGCTAAGCTATTGATTCAACAGCTCATTCCCTTCTGTCTCTCCCTTCGTAGAGGTTTAAGTGACGGAAATGGATGTGCTTCTTCCACAAGGCTTCCTGATTGGTTATTTGAAGCCCTGCTTTCCGTTTTTCTCTTCTAGTATTTAGCAGGAAGTTACAGAAAGGCATGGGGACCTGCAGCAAGGCCTGTGCCCCACTCCTGAATGGGTCATGGGAGAAGTAATGACACAAACAGTGGTGCTGCACATTTGCCCATGACCTCTGTAAGAGCCAAGTGTTTCAGCGTGCCTCAGCCCATTCTGAATGTGTCCAGTCCCACGCCAGGGCAGGCAGCCGCATCATATAATCCTGTCCATAAATGTCTCAACCCGGGGAAGAGCAGACACGCTAGATCCCCTGGACTGCCTGCTTTGTATGTGGGACAATCACTCACGCCCTTGTTGCCTGGGAAATCCTCCGACTGCTGGTTAACTTTTCCCATTGTGGAGTTGCAGACGCACGGGTGTGGGCGGTGGCAGCAAATCAGTGCAGCCCAGAGTGCAAGGACTGGGACTAAGTAGGGCAGTTTGCCCTCTGAAGCCTGCAAATGCTGTCTCAAAAGCAGAGCAACTTTTGCTCTTCACCAGTCAGTGCTTTGGGGCTGCTCCACCATTGTGGGGTAGAAACTGGGTTAGTGGTGTTACACGGGCAGACCCAGAGATGTTGAAGGCCTTATTTTTGGTTTTCCCAGCCTAAGATGGAAGGGCTTTGAAATGTGACCTGCTCTGCTGTCTGCTCAAGGCTACAGGTAACAGCAACAAACATCTGATTGTTAACAGAAAGGGAGGACTTGTGGCACCTTAGAGACTAACCAATTTATTTGAGCATGAGCTTTCGTGAGCTACAGCTCACTTCATCTGATGCATAAAGTGGAAAATACAGTGAGGAGATTTATATACACACAGACCATGAAAAAAATACACATTGTAAGGAGAGTGATCACTTAAGGTAATAAGATAATGGTAATAGCTCATCTTAAGTGATCACTCTCCTTACAATGTGTGTTTTTTTTCATGGTCTGTGTGTATATAAATCTCCTCACTGTATTTTCCACTTTATGCATCCGATGAAGTGAGCTGTAGCTCACGAAAGCTCATGCTCATATAAATTGGTTCGTCTCTAAGGTGCCACAAGTCCTCCTTTTCTTTTTGCGAATACAGACTAAGACGGCTGCTGCTCTGAAACCAGATTGTTAACGTCTATCATTTTGCTCAGGGAGAGGTTCATCATTAGGAAGGCTCGCGAAGAATCGGAGTTGTAATATTAGCCTGGGAGGGGGCTGAGGGGTTACCAGAGTTGGGTATCTCACTATCTGTAGCCCATGAGTCCCCACTATCTGTAGCCCATGAGTCCCCACTATCTGTAGCCCATGAGTCCCCACTATCTGTAGCCCATGAGTCCCCACTATCTGTAGCCCATGAGTCCCCACTATCTGTAGCCCATGAGTCCCCACTATCTGTAGCCCTGCTTTTTGGTTTTACACGCTACACTTTTGATTCAGACTCTAAGGCCTAGTGTAGACTAAGAAATGAGGTATGTTTAGCAAGCGTGTTAGCTAACACAAATATGCATATTTTTAAACACTATTTAGCAGCCAGTGTAAACAAATGCTGTTAAAACCATGCTTACTAGGTGTGGGCAAAACCCATTTTTAAAAGCCATATTTTTGACAGTGATTTAAACGTGTTAGCCAACATGCTCTCTAAAGAGACCGGGTTCCTATTCCTAGTCCAAAGCAAGACAACCCTTTCATCAAAAGATAAGCCGAGAGACTGAAGAAGTGGAAAGGCAGCCTATATAAAATCCCAAAGGTCTTTTCTGACGCTTTTAACGTATTGGAATTCACTGTAATCCCTTAGTCAAAGTTTCAAAGTGTGCCAGACTCCCACTTCAAAGATCCATTACTGCAGGATATTTTTGGCATGGGAGTTATTAAAGACCAGACAGTGCAAGATGCTATTGAAATTCTGGCCTCACATCTCCACTGAGAGGAAGCCCAGATTACATACACTAAACGTAAAACACTATCCCAAGTTAACAAGTCTACACTGAGTAAGAGCCATTGAATAAAAGTATTTATTTTAACACATTTGCAGATCCATGCTTAATACAATTGTCACCTAACAAGTGAGCATATTACCTTCACCCCACATCTGCTGATGTAATCAGCATCATATAACAGTTACTCATTGCACAGAACTGAATAGGTATGACACCAATTCACCGTTATGCACTGTCTCAGGATTTCTGCTTTTTGTCATTATGCCGGCTCAAAGACTGAAATGACTTTCAGAAGACGATTTGTATATGTACAGAACACTGTCGTCCAACAATTAAGTCCCATCTCTTATTGGATAGTTGTTCTGATGGGTAGTTCATATTAATAATTCTTGCTAAGTATAATAAAAACCTGAATGGGCATAGAAATATTTCTAAAGTGCATTACTGCAGCTAAAAAAATAGCAGCAATTGTGTATTTAAAAAACAAACGAACAACCACCATACAAAGGATTGTGACCAAACTTGAAAAAGTTTTACACTACAAAAAGAAAACCTTGCAAAAACACAAGGCAAAGGCCTTGCATGATTCAGTCTACAGGAGATACAGAATATCAAGAGGTTCACACACACACAGAACAGAAGGCTCTCTTCAAAGTTATCCATAATACACAGCCGGGCAAAAAACAAATGCATTGGATACATATATTTCCTCAGAATTGTGAAAAAAAGGTTTCCCTTAGCTGCCTGCTGTCCAGCATAAGCAGTTATAAAATGCAAGTCTGCAGTTTAGCATAGCAGTAAATTTACCAAGACTTCACTGGCAGCAAATTCTGAAGAACTGATTAAAATCCCCATTTTGCGAACAGTATTCCAGTACAATAGTGAATTCCAGCTCATGGTTTTCTGCGCCTGAAATAAAAAGCACACAATACTCTCAGCTCAAAGTTTTGATTCTCACAGCACAACTTTCTATACTCATGGTCAAGAATGTTACTTAGATTTACATAAAACCTGTATTCATACAACAGACTAAGAGTATATAGTGATGAAAAGAATCAATTGGTTCAGTGATACAGCTATGCTATGGATTTTATTCAACGCATTAGATCAGGGAGCAACAACTGTTAAGTTCACAATCTGCTTTTGCATAGAGTTCAACCTACACACACAGGACAACAGCAAGACTGACCCAACAGGCAAAGCAAAGACTTGATCCTGCTCCTCTAAAAGGCAGTGACAAAGCTCCCACTCACTTTGATTAGGCCCCAAGATTACAGGGAAGGGGGCTTTGAAAAAAAGTTTATACCATAGCAGGATTACAAGGGAAAAGTTTGTAAACAGATCTAAAAATCACAAGTTTTCTGACCAGATGTTCCCAAAAGTGCCAGATTTTAAATGTATTCCATCACTGCTATTGGACTTGTACAGACAAGTTTTCCCACTTGGAGCAGTGTACACCATAGACTGAAGTCTAATGCATTAGCTTTTTACAGTTGTTTAGCCTCTCTATTTCGACCTGAAATTTTTGAAGGTTGTTTGGTCGTTATGGGGTCACCGTCTGTTTCTACCCACCCCGCAACCCCCTTTTTGCTTCATGAAAAGCTCTTTTACCTCTGAAGCCCTCTCTCCTGCCTGTAAACATCGTGTAAAACTGCAAGCTTTCTTCCCCTGAGCTGAATGGATCACTGCCACAGCGCTGCCAGCACCTATCTGCAAAAGGCCAAATCTGCAAGTGAACTCTGTTCTCCAGCAGCTAGGCTACCAGACTGCCTAATAAGCACGTATTCTGTCAGCAAGCGTTTGAGACCCAGTCTTGCCACTTACGAAGTTTCACGTTGAAACTCTAGCATTTGTTTGGACTCTGGTGTTAGAAACTGGGACTTCTACACGACATCAGGTGACTTTTCTATTTGTATAGCAAGATGGGAGCTTTAGATTCACAAACTCTCCAGGGTGAGACTGAGCTTCCCCAAGAAGCCTCAGGCTGTCATCTGTGAATTCAGTATGTGGTACTCCAGACTCTGAACAGAAGCAGGGCTTCTCTGCCACAGCTAAGGCCTGTGCTTCTCTGTTAGAAGCTTTACGTACCCAATCTGGCAAGTGGTAGTTGGAATTTAATATGAACTACATCAACTTTGCCATCAGATCGTTGAACACCATCCCCCTCTCCAAGGTACCTTAAACAGTTTTCGTACACTAATAAAATGTACTTAAACTATCCTTCCTTCCAGGCATCAAGCAGAGATCGCAGATATGCTCATTTGCACTACAGCGTGTTACTAACATTGACAGGCACGGAGATTACTTTAATCCTTTGCAACCTTAGATGTATAATGGACAAGGAAATCAGGGTAGAATATTTTCATTTCTCTTCACTTCTGTCCCAGATACACTGCTCCACCTCTGAGCTGTTTGGGCAGCCAGTGTTCCAGCACAGGTTTGTGGGTCCACTCAAACTGCCGCTGAAGACATAAGGTATCGATGTCAGATGTTACTATCACACCTCAGGCCACGTGTGACCAGTGATTTTGAGGGCCCAGCTTGAGATGTCTTACAAGGGACTGATGTTCAGAAAGTTGGCCCAACTCTGAACATCAGGCTCCTTTCAGGCTTATCAAGTTGGGCACCCAAAAAAGTCACTTGTCATGCTAAATTTGGCTTCAATTTTAGGTCACTTTGTCATTCCAATTGCCATGGCACTTAGCTGTCTCCAGTTGTCCCTTTGGTGACATATCACTGCTCCTTGATAGTCTGAGTCAGCAAGAGAACCCATTCACACCAGCAAAGGAGAAAGAGTAAATGGCTGGAACCACAAAGGCAAAGTGGCAACACCGCCAGGTTTGACATTTCAGGAATCAATCCTTACCTTAAAGCTGGTTAAGACTTGAGGGGAATAACATTTTCCCAGCCAAGGAGCATTTAGAGCAAGAAAGCCAGAAGCTCCAGTTATGATAAGTTAGTGTGACACCTACTTGGGCTGAGCATGATGCTGATATCCAGGTCCCAGACTGGATCCTGCCCTCATCTCCACAGCTACTGAACACTGGAAAGACACATGCATTAGTCACAGCTGCTGCATAAAGCCAGCGAAAAGACGACAATTACTGGCGTTATTCCAGATTCACACCAACGTAAGAATCTGGCCGCCTACTTGTAACTTACTCTGGTTTCTACATCTGTCCATTCAGATTCTGCAGCATCTTCTGGTGGAGCAGGACTTGAAGTTGATGATCTTCGCTTTCGACTGAGGGAGGCAGAGAGAAGAGTTAGTCCTGAAAGACTGCTGTGTATAGTTCAATAGACTGTCCAATGAGTGACTGCACAAGCCATTATCTAGAGACGGTTCACTCATATGGAGATGATGAATAGCTTCTGGTACCCCAAAACTCCAGCAGTGCGCCAGCAATACCTGTAGCTGCAGGCTTTACAAGAAAACCTTACCTCAGTTTTACGTATATTAGGCCAGTCTTACCTTAAAGCTGGTAAGTTCAAAATCTCAGCAACTTCATTCTTCTGAAGTTTCTCACCAACCATTGATAGAATTAGAGCTGTGTGCACATTCTGGGGATACTAGGTTCTTGACATTATTGCAATTATAAAATTATATGTGACTGACCCGGTTGGTGATTCTTGTTTTAGAGTCTCTATATCCGTGAACTGGACTGCCTGTCCACCACCTCTGGTTCTGTAAACATCACCCTGAGGAAAAGAAACAAGTTCCTTACAAATTAATATAATTACTTGGATATTATGTTTGCACAGAAACTTGAATTGTGGCCAACTAGTACGTGACCTCAGTGTTTGCAATAACTACCATTTCTTTCAAGGAAGCTCATCGATCAACCCAGAGAGCACAAACACGTGAGCATGCACTAGAGTGAACCATCAGCACATGATGTACCCAGAGGTTGTCAGCTGCCCCCCCCAAAATGGTGCAAGAAATTCCTAAGATAGCAGATTAAAAACACAACTGAGTAAGGCCCAGTTTCAATGCTTTCATTCGGCAGTCTAGACAGGACTGTAACTGTGTTGGCAGATGGGATAAACCCTGGGATAAGTGGGGTCAACAAGCCCTTGGGGTAGCATGGAGGAATTTTATTTTAAAAAGTGACCATGCCCTAGTAGTCAGAGCTAAAGGAAAACTGCAGCTGTTTTATCCAGTTTAAAGTTCACCACAAGAAGTACTTATCAACACTGTTTCTTTGGGAGGGGGTTTAACTGACAACAATTGGCATTTCCAAACAAACGTGCTGAAAGCGGCCATCTGGCGGAATTGACAACTTGTGTGAAACTAGCAGAGCCCCCTGGAACTCAAAGCCTACGCTGCATCCCAACTTGCTTTAAGTGTTTGCCAGACTAACACTTGGAAGCTACATTCTGAAAGTGTTAGATTTCATATTGCTTTGTTGTTGCAGCAAGATGGGAACTGGTTCACGCTGCTAGAGGAACGAAGCGACATCACTTCAACAAGATGGTCAAGCCTCCGTAAGTAGGCTTCAGAAAACCAGTGGCAGCCACAGGCTTGACACATCCACTGATTATGGATGGTGTCTTACATAATGGGACAAACTATCATTTTATTACGGTAGGTGCAATTTTTTTTTAAATCAAAACTGATGCAGATGAAACTTGGCATGCAAATAGCTAGAAGAACACATTCAAGTACTGTAAGCTTACTAGAAATGTTTTCTAGGAACTGAAGCGTCTCCTACCCCAACCTGCAACTTCCAAAACCACAATCAACAAAAGCACTTTAAGTCAAACACATCCTTATGCAAGCTAAAATCAGAAACTCCGAATCAGTTAAGTACGATTTGACAACACAGAGGTATTTGCTTTACCTTAATCAGTTTAGTTTCAATCTCCCCATCAGAAGCTAGTTCCTGGTGAGTCAGCATGTACTTGTCACACTTAGCTAGTGCCTTTTCGTTTGCAGCTGCTACTGTGATGGCATGGGGGACATGTGGTTGCATGACTGTTTCAGTTGGCACATTAGAAGGTGGCTTATGATCTACCCATCTCTCCCCCGCTGAGCGTGATCGTCTGTGTCTGAGACGAACTGGAGGTGCAGTCTGATCAGAGCAGAAAAGAACCAGAAGAAATAAGCATAATCAGTAGTTAAAGTGCAGCTTTTCAGGCCTGGTTAAAATGTATTTGGATGAAGACCAAAATTTCATCTCTAAACGTTTAATCAGAATTGATCTTGCAGGGAACCATTCCTGACACACTTACACAACATTGCTATTAGAATTACACTTGGGCCAACTCATTCTTTGCAGTTTTAATTAAGTTCTACGTAGTTGGATGGATTCCTTAACCAGAACTTCAGACTAAAGAATCTGAACTTTTTTGCAGCAGCTCTCAAATGTCCAGCCAAACTATGAATTCTACACCCATTAAACAGGCCTGAAAAAGCAGTTACATAAGATAGTTTCCATGGACACATTCCTGGGTCAAATGGTCGGTTTCTCAGGTAATCAAGGGAACAGATTCATGGCACAGGTTTTAGGAGGTGTTACTTCAGCGGAGTCACTCAAAGATGGGAGGCCTCAAGTGTATTTCTGGGTAAATTCTGTGGAGAAGGAAGAAGCTTGACATTAGCCCCTCTTTCCAGAGTGAGACTGGTTTGGCACTCAGTTGCTGGAATGCATCAGAAGTTACTGATGTGTTGATACCTCTACCCGTATACCACCCACCCTCTGCTGGGCAGAACTAGAAGTCTGTTTTAAACTGCAACAGGAGGTCTGTTAAATATGGACCCTCTTATGAGATCACAGGTGAAAATGTTACAAGAGGTAGTATTATTTATGCAAGAAAATAAGCTTTATGCAGAGAATCTTCTCTGAAAGTTAAGCAGAAGGATGGTTGAAGTCTCAGGAGGGGCAACGTAATCCTCCTCTTAAGAAAGAATTTGAGGGACCTCTGACACAAGGCCGTGATTTATGTTCATCAAACTGAAATCACTCTTGACCAAGACATGACTTTAACAAGGTGCATATTTTAAATGCTGCTCTTGATGTGGAGCTGAAGACCAACCATGGAGGGGCCAATCTGAACACCAGACTCAAGGGATGAAGTTATAATGGTACTTTCCACTACCTTCTTTTGAACTCCATAACTGGGTGACTATGTACCAACCCTTATTCTACAGACAGCTAGATTCAGGGTCAGAGTCTAGAAGTAAAATCCCAGCCACAAAGAACAATTGTATACAGTGTTGTCCCCCTGCCAAATAAACTCTACAGCAGAGGTCACTTCCAAAGAGGTGCAGGGAAGAAGAGGGAAAAAGGGCCTCTTTTTGACCCATCCAAAGTACACAAGATCTCCATTCAGTCACACAGCTCACTGTCCCCATCAAATTCAGCCTTTTCCGCCTATCATGCGGGAGTTTACATTGCTCAGTTTTAAGAGAAATAAGATGAAACTGGCAAGACCACACATATGGGTGAGTGTTCCTCTATCAGGCTCTGGGAGCCAACAGCTGTAAATAATAAGGGGAGATTTTACACTTCTGTCTCACATATACACCCAATGAAAATCCATTTCATTAGTGACATGTGGCAAGATCACCTAACTCAGATCCATGGATACTAACCCCATCCACTGCGCTTCCAAGACTTGAGCATTGATTACATCGTATTTTAGCAACAGGTATAAGGCTTACAGTGCACCCTCTTGATAGGTCTCTTCTCAGAAGCCCCAAACACGGTTTACAAGCATCTATGATATCAAAAACTACATGCTGCCAGGACGCAGAACGCAACATTAAGATTTGGGCAAATAGAAGTTTTCAAGGCTCACCTAAAACTACCTACAGTGACCCTTTTCTTTTGGCTGGGCGAGTGAAGTATTCATTTTTCCATTGGTAATTTTTTGAGACAGCTCTGAGAAGCTGCCTTAGTAGTTTAGACCCTTAAAAAAGGGTGCACTGTATTCGACAGTGGACAATGTTCCTTAGCTTGCCACCAACAGGGGTTAAGGTAAAGTTTAATTTGAATGGCATTCGTATGAAAGCATGACTTGCATCCAAAAGTCTGTCACAGGAACTTTGTTTGTAATACCATTAAGGGAGTCCAAGATATGGATTCACAACGTAACAGATTTTGCTCCTGTTTAGAACGTCTCTCAAAATAGTCTGGTATTTGTCTATTAGTTTTACCTGAACCCCTTTAGCAAGAATGTGATGATAAAGCGTATAGTGTTAAGACAAGCATCTCCTTGATACGAACTGGTACACAGAAGAATCACTTAGACCAATTAAAACTGAATGAAAACTGCAAGTAAAACCACCAGTTTTATTACAAATATTCAAATTTAGTAAGAACATTTTAACGGTTGTATGAATCCCAGACTCCGCTCATTACAAGCGAGACTGCTTGTCCAAACATTTTCCAGCTGATAAATGAAATTTCCACAAACAGCTCATGAGATCCTTAATCCGCCCAAAAATGACTCTGGCAATTGCAGACTGCCAAATAAGTTTAAGAGACAGACAAATGGAGACAAGGAGGTTTATAGTCAGAAAATTTAAATTGTTGTTCCTGGAGAGAACTATACACACGCTGACGAGACACAGACAGACATACTCCTTTAAGGGCTTTTATATACTGACTTTAGAAACCAAATTAGATTGTGTTTTGCAAGTGCCATGACACATAACTTGGAGGCAGCAGTCAAACATGGAGAAAATTTGTAAAATTGGGTCCAATTCCATTTCAGGGGTGAGCTCACATATGGCAGCACACACTAAGCTTAGCAATTGTTTGAGAATGGTAATCTTCTGAGCCACAGCAACCAAGCACTGCTTCATGTAACCATTGCTAGGAGTAGCACTAACCCTGCAGCATTGGTCCTCTTCTATTTCTATCTCATCTCTACGGCTGGGGACCTCAATGACTCCAGTCCAGTGCATCCCTCGCCTTCTGTCTGACACATTACAGTTTCTATTTTGCTCTGGTTCCTGTTGTCTACTCCTTGCCTTAGGTGTGCCAATGGTGTGCTTGTTGTATGGAGGAATTTTCTGCTCCCACTCCGAAATACAGGATGCCACACAAATGCTGCTACAAGAGTTAGAGCGTCTATGCAGCTGTGGCTGGCTCATGAGAGGTTGGCTGTTAGGGACTTGAGTAACATAGTTACTAGAAAACTGAAGAAAATGGGAGAGAAGTTAGTGAACACATACAATTTTGAACTGGTAAAGTATAACACTTCTCAGAAATCATCCTGTATGGCTGACTTGCGTATATGCAGAGAGTAATCAACGCAAGTACTTCACATAACTAGGTGTTTCACTGTCAGCTTTAAAAAGCCAGGGCACTCTTTCAATTAGTCAAGTGTAAGGTAAAAGAGCATGCAGAGACAACACACTAGAGGGGGGAAAAAAAAAAAAAAAAACACTTAAGGAATTTAGTAGAGCCCAAAACATACTCATTCTCGTGTCCCATTCCCAACAACTAGAGAGAAAAATAGTCAGCTACATTTAGCTTTATAAAAACCTGTTTGTCTCTGCACTGACATACAAAGAGATTCACATATAACATACTGGTGCTGGCGGGGGAGACACAGATCTCTGAAAAGTCTTCTCCCGGTCCTTCTCCCGTGAAGGCCTCTCTGGTTTTTCATTCTTTGGTTCAGTAACAATAGCTTTCAGTTGCTTCAGTTTCTCATCTTTGACCCAGAGCTTGTTCTGCATCTCCAGCTGTTTTGCCGCCACACGGCGCTCCTGCAGGTGAGAACCGGGTGGAGGATATTGTTGTAAATAAAGACCAAATTAGATAAGCATACGTTATTGTGATGACAACTGAATTGAGGAGAGCTGTGTATTTCAAATGGAAGAAGATTTTCCAGCCAAGATGTAGACTTGTCAAAGTAGTCCCTATGTACGCTAGGCCTGGCCAACTTTGAAAACTATCTAGCATCTTCAATATCCTAACTGAAGAACAAAGTGATTACATTCATTTAGTAGCACACATCGCTCATATTGTAGTGGCTAAGTCTCTAGCTCAGGTAACGGATCACTATAGCAGGTTGGTTCCTCAAAAGCTATTTCCCCCCACACACAAACACGCGCGCGCAATTGGCAGAAAATTTGCTGTTGCTAATATACCACGGGAAGAGCAGAACCCTTGTGGCTAGGTCAATGACGACAACTGACAAAGAAAATCTGATTTCAGAAGGCAAAAAAGTTATGAACCAGAAGGAAACAATGCTAAACTGTTTAAAAAAAGCAAATTTTTGTAAAATAATTTTTAACAAAATTTACCGAGTTTACATCAATACCCTTCTAGAAAAATTCTACTTCAGCATAAGATCACACTTGTCAAATTTCAAGGTGAGAGTGGATGGTCTGGTCTGTCTCTCAAAACTGGATACACAAAGAAAAATTAATTTCAGCCTTAGCTTGGTACAACGAACATTGCTCCATTAAGCATTTCTAACAGATATGCTAGTGTACTTACACATTCTTTCTCCCACTTCATTGTTGTCTCTGTCACCATGCCTTGCAATCGTGCTTCCAATCTACGCTTATCAGAAGCCTGCCGCTGCAATTTCTGACTCTTGCTTTCTAGCTCTTGCTGCAAATTACGTTTGTCTTCTTCATAAATTGTAGTAGTTTTCTCTAAAATCTCAATCTGGAGGAAAGACCATAGCATTTTTTCTTTTAAGTTTCACATTTAATTGCTCACAAAGCATTTTCTTGAAGAGGTGCACAAGAGAGCAAAGGAGCTAATCATATTTTAACATGCTTTAGACCACAATCAGCGATTTTAGTACAGACATAAACCAACACTCCAGTAAGTTCCCTTGAAATTTCAAAGACAATTTCAGAAGTTTGTAGCACATACCGTATATACTCATTCATTAGCCAGTTTGTTTATAAGCCGAGCCCCCCAAGATGGATAGGTAAAAATAGTAAAAACTGTATGACCCTTTCATAAGCCAACCCAATATTTCAAGGGTTGGCAAACTTTGGCTCCCAGCCCGTCAGGATAAGCTGCTGGTGGGTCGGGACATTTTGTTTACCTGGAGCGTTCTCAGGCACGGAGTCCCTCAGCTCCCTGTGGCCGCAGTTCGCCGTTCCCAGCCAATGGGAGCTGCAGACTGCGGCCACAGGGAACTGAGGGGCTCCGTGCCTGCAGATGCTCTGGGTAAACAAAACGACAATGTATTAGATATTCAATTCAATGATTTCACAGAGTTTAAAAATCATCAAATTTTGGTGTAGACCCATTTATAAGCCGACCCCCTGCTCTCTGACGGTCACTTTTTTACCAAAAATATTCAGCTTATGAACAAGTATATACGGTAGTTTAGCGATTTCTGGTTTTCTTGAAAGAAACTTAACCTTACTCATGCTAAAGCCAAAACAAGTAAGACATTTTGATTAATATCCCCACCAAATAAGAGAAAAAACAATTAACTAAAGTATTTTGAGAAAACCTTATGTGGAAAAAACTTCTGTTTTTGAATTAAAAATTTGACATTTGCTAAGTAAAGTATAAGTTTTGTGCTTAAGAACTGAGTAATTTCAGATTATGCAAGAACAAACCTTGTACTCTAATGTTTTAGTTTTCTTTTCCAGTCGTTCAATCTCCATTTTCTGTCCTGCTATCATTTTCTCCTTTTCAGTGAGTTTTCCTTGAGCGTAGTTTTCCTTGGATACAATGCTGCTATCAAATTCCTGCAGCATAGTTTTAAATGCGAGTACTGGAACAGATTCAGACATTGTAATCCATATAAATTCACTTAGGGAGAATCTTTGCACTCCCTCCCCAGAACATTAAACTAGATCAACTTTTGCCTCTTCCCTACTAGCTTGAAATATGAAGATTGCCTTATTTTGCTTGCTGACACAACCCTGCCAAATGTCTGAGTATTTATATCAAACCACAGTGAAGTTTTTGAAGCATCATTCACGAATTTAGGCAAACCAGATACGTTCCGCCATGTGCCCACTGGGATAGAAGATATAGCTATTTTACTCCAGCTGCTTTGCACAACTGCCTTTCATGTATTGATTAGCAGAGGAATGGTTTCATATGGAGAATCAGTGCTCACCATTTTTGGTGAACTCTTCTGACAGCATCTGCCGCATTCTGTGGCGTTTCTCAAGGACTTCAATCAGCCTAGGAAGTGTTTGGTCATCATTCACGTCCAGTAGTTCACATGATGGTAACGGAGGGAAGTTCTGCAGAAGCATTTCAGTCACAGATTGTTCTGTTTCTGTAAGGATTTAAAGCAGACAATCCATGACAGCAAGCTATTCTAAACCTACTTCAGCATTGCAGCACACAGACTGAAGCCACGCACTCACTCGCTCTCACCCCAAAGCATTTTGGAAATATAAAAGCCTGGACATTTTAACAAGGAAGAGTTTCCACCACCTAGATGGTAGCTGATCAGGCACAACTGTACCAAAAGAAGGGTTTGAATGGGACATTGCTGCATATAATAAGTGTTTCGATTAGAGAAGTTATAAATAAAAGATAGGTGTAGAGGGAAGCTTGGAAATTTAAGAGAGATTAGAAGCCCTGTGAGCATACAATTTTTTAATCCAGTTTAAAAATTATTTCTTTGTCCAAATATTGCTGTATTTCTAGATCCACGACCTCCCTCAAGGGAGGGGGTAAGGGAAAGTTCACCTACATCTGTTATCACCATATTTAAAATGTATCTTGGAACTAGTAATATGTGTACTAACACCGACTGTGTTCATTATAATTTATAACCCTGCAGCATAAACCCAAGGTAACAAATATCCTTATGACTTTATTCTCTCGGTTAAGTTATAGATTATGTAGGAGTTTTTGTTTTATTTTCATGTCTTTTCTATTAGTCAGAAGTGCTGGATTGACTAATAAGTCTGTGCTATGAAACCATGTAACATCATTCCAGTTTTTACCTCCGCCGATTGGGCCACCTCGAATCTCAAGTCTTCGTGAGAGTTCATCCTTAAAGGCCTGGTTTCTAAATCGGCGTCCTGGGGTTAAGCCACACAGTGGTTTATCAACAGGTCTTGCAACTTCAACTTCTTGGGTCATTTCTGCAAATCGCATGACTTGCTATGATAGAATAATATGCAGTTTTAGATACTCCATATTTAGTTACCACAATCTTTAGCCACAGTGTGAACTCGCAAGTATCTAGATACATACTAAAAAGGGACATTATCAAGTTGAGATGGCTTTTAAAAGCCAAGTTACAGGTAGTTTCAACTACTACAGCTCCTGCCCAGTTTCCCTGGTGGTTTTACAGGGGTGTGTGTCGCCCCCTCCCCACCCTCTCCCTGATGCTGCCAACAAAGGAAACAGTGAAAGTGACTGTACAGAGTGTTGGCAAACAGTTAAGGCCTAGGAGAAATGTGGCTTCTTTCTGTTATAGTATTCTTTAATGCCATTTCTAGGAATAAGGAGTGGGATTGTTAGGTTGTGGGTTTCCCTTTAAAGTTTCAGTTTTGTTCCTTGTGAGATGAAGTGAGAGATTCCCTCCCCTTTATATTTTCTATCTCTTCATATTCGTTTCATCAGTTTGGTGGGGATGGAATGGGGGGGTGGGGGGGGGGAAGAAGAGAAGAATCACATGCAAGTTACCAAGCTTTCCTCATAGTCCTCGGCCTTGGGGTTAACGCACACGACCATACGCACTTTTCCTTCTCCGTCAAAGTAGTTCTTGAACAGGTGGGTTAATTTGGAGTCTCGATAAGGGACCATCTAAAAAGAACGAAAAAAACCCCAACAACAACAGTCTCAAGCAAAAGTCTTGACAGGTTAAAAGACAGTAAGAAGGTGGGTTGTCATATACCTTGTTGGTTCCATACATTTGGTTCTCCCGTAGAACTTCAATACATGTTCTTAATGTCATAAGTGACTGGTTAATATTACCTGAAAGAAACAGAGCTAGTGTTAAGCACTCAGATGGATATTGCCCCTCAGTTACAATATTCCAAAGTTAGTGGCCAATTTATGCCTAAAATTGCATTGTTTGGGGGGATAAACTATTCTGATTAGCTTAGGAATACCTCAAGCCTTTTCTAGTTACATTAAGACAATGGGTAGTGTCCAGCTTTCCAGACAAGGGGATTTAAGAGTCATTTGACTTAATAGAACAAAAAGACACCCCACCAGGATATTTATCTTGAGCCAGGAGGCACTACCATATGACCAGCTTTCTAGTCCACAAACCAATAGTTGCATATGAGCATATAAGCAACAGACCATCCAAGCCAACTATGTACCTGCTTCACGTAGTCTGTTTCCTTCAGCTTTTGTCCTATTCGTTCTTTCGCTTCCAGCTAAATCAACCAAGGACAGCTGGCTTAAAGTTATTTGTTCTCTCTCCTGTTCAAGAAAAAAAATAAAATGTTTAATGCCATTTGCAACATGTCCCCAATATAGGGGAAGAAATAAAATTACATGAGACTTTTAAGCCTTACATAACTGTTGTAAGTTAACACTTAATAAAGGTTAGGGAGAGAATTGAAGCTCTCTCTTATAATTATGTGAGAGACTATGAGCTACTAATGGTTTAGTGCCCTAGCATTCCAGGTTCTGGAATCTAGGATTCATATTCTATTTCAGGCAGTCTCAAACTACAAATGCCTCTCCCAAAACCTCTCCCAATTTCTATATGCTTAGTTTTTGCGTAACAGTAGCCAAGACAAAGAGCAAGGGAACAACAAACTTTGCTTATTTCATTAATGCTCACCTTGACAGAGAGAGCTTTGACTTATGAGGCATTTAAAAAGTGCAACTGGAAACTAGTAATTAGAACATCCCAGAGAGGAGCCATTGTCTAGGTCATCACCGCCCTTCCCACACACGCATTGCGCTCTTTAAAATAATTAGCCTCTGAATTTCACCTGCAGGACATTATCTCCATCTGCATCCAGCGGCGCCTGAGCCAACTTAATCATAAACACGCTGTGAGAACGACTAGATTCGCGATTCAGCTGAGTGTTAGCAATGCGCCTTTTCTTTTGACCTGTTAAACGAGAGAGCCCTTTAATCTGAGTGGCAGATCGGTAGAGGCCATGCAGGTCTTCATGCCACAGGGATATACATGACTAAAGTGAGCACTACTCCTGAACATTTCTTACCTCTCCAAAAAACTTCAAAAGCTTCTTCAGTAGATTTTACCTCGACTTCGGTGCATCCTATAACATACATGTTGTGATTCTGGTCCTCACGGAGTACTTTGGATTGTGGAGGTCTGCAAAGAGCATGGTTTAGATCAAGCTGACAGGCAGCAAGGCTTTTAAAGCAAGCACCATGCATATCCTTATGTTTAAGGATCAGATTCAACCTGAACACAGATGTCAAACGTTATCCCACACTAACAGAACGGAGAGCCAATACAAATGCATGGGGAAATATTTAGGCAGGACTAGATACAGTTCAGTTATTGCTTTGCTTTTACACATTTAATTGCAATGCATAGTAGGCACTATGAGGCTGGAGGACTAATGCTACTCTCCTACATGCATAAGCTCATACAGAAGCATATAATAGACTTCAACAGCATTATTCTGAATTCGCTAGAGAAGCAGAGAAAGAGATGGGGTCTGAATTTATTTACAGCAACACCATACAATAAATTCAGCTTCTCCATTTTTAATGGAAGAGACAATATGCTGGGCACATACATAAAATCACCATTCCGCACAGGAGTGTTGCAACTGTTCCACCTATCAAGGGAATAGGGTAAAATATTACAGCACCCATAGCAACCACCTAACATTTTAATCATTGTAATTTGCACAACAGAAAATAATGTAAAAGTTAAGACCAAGTTCTGGAAACATTTAACAAGATGGTGATCCTCTAGTGAGTGCTTAACAAGTGGTTAAACAAAATAATTGCAATTCTCCTCCTAAAGCCTCATGACATAGCCAATATGTTCTATTGGTTTGTGGACCCTATTCAGAGATGGAATCCAAAAAGATTAGATCCAAAGACCTCAGGCCAGAGCCATGACAAATCTGTGTGCATTAATTGTTCTGCCATAAGTGTGTCAAGTTTCACAAAGATATTTGTGCACCAGTAGCTATTTGTGAGAACCTTAATTTTAGATCCATTTAAACACAAGCACAAAGCAGAGAGTTAACGTGGAGACAAGACAAAAGTTTAGAGGTGCGCTTGTGTTGTCCCTAAAGGGCACTGTTTTCCCAAAAGTTCCCAAACACTGTAATGGTGGGAGGGAGCTCACCCAGAGGCTGCCTCCAAAAGCCAGAGTTTCAAACTGGCACCCAAGATTTCTGTTCCTGTTTCAATGAAGCGTGAAGCTGATTAACAGTGAGTCACGGTCACCAAGCCCAGGATCAGTTTCTTTGGAAACAGGAGTAGGAATGGCAGCTAAGAAGTTGTATAGATTGCAAGTTGTAGTCATCAGTTGAGAGTGCTGTTTGTAAGACAGCATGAACAGATTTGGGAGTCCCACAGGTTCCAAGAGCCTGTACCAATGTAACAAACTTAAGTTCCTCTGTAACACACTCTAAAGGGAATGTGAAAAATTTAGCACCAGCAATAAGACACCTGTTCTGCGGTTTTAGACCCTGCTGTAGAAACTTAAACAAGCCAACTCCACACTACATCACAGCAAGTCCCCATTTTTCAGATGAGGTTGAGGCAGACTTGTAAAAGGCTATGGAGGGTGTCAGTGGCAAAGTCAGATTCAACTGTCTGGTTCACAGTCTTGTCTCCACACCACTGTACCCAATATTCCTTTCTTGAGTAATCTCGTTTGGACTCAAGACAAAGAGGTGGGGATTGTGAGCATGTCTCAAGGTAACCCAATATTAATTACAACCTGGAGAGGTGATAATCACTCAAAGAGGCATATTAAAAAAAAGACACTTACTTTGGTTTTATTGGATCGAAGGGAACTTCCTCCAACAGGTCATATATGTAGTTATTGTAGATTTCAATATACGAGACAAACACACTATAGACATTGTCTTCTTCAACCTCTTCCACTTTGTAATGATCTCGTACACTGATCATATCAGCAAATTCTGGATCTATTTGTCGTCTGTTAAAACCATGCATGACATTATTACAATACAGCATCCATGACAAGCGGATAATTCATCACATATACTCTACAATTAGAAGCTATATTGAAAGCAGCACAGTTTAAGGGTATGTCTACACTGCAATTAAAACCCGTGGGTGGACTAGGCCAGCTGACTTTGGCTCAGGCTAAGGCACCATTTAAATGCAGAGTAGATGTTTTTAGGTTCAGGCTGGATCCCAGGCTCTAGTACCTTGTGGGGGGTCCCTGAGCTCAGAATGCAGCCTGAGCCCAAATGTCTACACTGCAATTAAACAGCCCCTTAGCCAGAGTCAGCTGGCATTGGCCAGCCACGGGTATATAACTGCAGTCCCAAAAATGCCCATGTTGAACATTGATGCCATGTATTCAGTTCTCCTCCAAAAAGAAAGAGCTAGAGCACTTGTGAAAGCAGTAAAAAGCTTAAATATAGTCATGTTTATTACTATATATTGCGATATAAAATTTTCAGATGTAGTTGTGTTACCTAGTCAATTACCAAGCAGTTACAGTTAGTCAGCCCTATGCAGAGCTCATTAATACTTTGTACTTATAGCATCTTCCATTCATTGGACTCAAACACTTTTTAAATTTAACATACCTTTTACTAACAGGAAAGGCTAAACCACAGACAGTTTAAGTGACTTAACCAAGGTAATGCTACGAATCATATTGCAAAGAATAGAACCTAGGTTGCCTGCCTCCAAGTACTCAGCTTTAAATGTTGATTAGACTACGCTTTATCTCACCAGAAGAAAAAGGTAGAGTGATATATTAACGCTTCCTGAAAGTGGCAAGAAGCGTTCATGAAGGGCGTCCAAGTCATCAAAACTCAAGTTTTGGAATGACATGTATCAACAGAGAAAAAGTAGGTGAGGTGATCTCTTTTATAGACAAATTTACAAGATTACACAGAGCTCTTCTTCAGGTCTGGGAAATGTACTTTGAGTGTCACAACTAAATAAACTCTCAGAAAATGAGAAGCCAAAAACACCATATCACCTGTGGGTGAACACTTTTCACCTCTCTATATCGGACCTTTCAGTCCTCATCCTCAAAGGAAACCTGTACAATACCATCAAAAGTAGCCTGGGAGCTTAAATGCATAGCTTTTCTAGATACTAAAAATCATGGACTGAACAGAGAGACTGGATTTATGGGTTATTACAACAGAGTATAACCTGCCTCCCCCACCAGTTCTTGCCCCCCTATGCCTGGAGAGGTGTTAAAGGGCCACTTTACCTTGAATGGCCTGAGTATCTTTCCCAGACCTGAAGAGCAGAGCTGTACAGCTCGAAAGCTTGTCTATCTCCCCAACAGAGGTTGGTTCAATAAAAGATACTGCCTTACCCACCTTGTCTCTCTCATATCCTGGGACTGACACAGCTACAACATTTCATATATATGTATTAATACACCATTTCATTCTACTTACTTGCCAGATGGAGTCTTTGGAATTGGCATGGCATCTCTTTTCTGACGCTCTAACAAAGCATCAACTTCACACTGCACATCCACACCGTTCTTGTCATCAAGTTTAAAAACCTGAGGGCAGCAAATGGGGTTAGCAGTCATGTGACGAACTTAAACACTGGAAATGGTCGTTTGTGGCAAGGGTTAATTGTGATAAAAATGTCAGCACGATAAAAGTGAAAATATGACTAATGATCTCTGAAATAGTAAGACCGAACTACTTCATTGACGTGCCATCCTGCAGTCATTCTCCATTTTTGACCAGGCTCTGCTTCTGATGCAGATGTTTTGTTTGATTACTTTATTTTGATTAAAGGACTGTAAGGTTTTTCTTACAATTTAACAATTTAGAACAGAGAATAACTGACTGTGTTTTAGGCTGTTACTGGGAAAGTTTCTCTTAAGACTTAAAACAAAGCAACTCACAAATCGCTTGGCCTGAAATGGTCCTATGCTGTTGAAGATCATGTCTAAGCACCGGGGAAGAAGTCCTCCATCACCAGGAGAACCTGTCATTGTGTGTGTTTTCCCACTACCTGTCACACCATAGGTGAAAAGGAGACCTAGGAGTAAAACAGTTACAGTTAAATGTTCCTAATTGGACCTTATTAACTAGAAAACCTTCAACTTGAACTGTCACTTGATCCTATCCAATAAAGGGGGGGGGGGAGAAGACTTCCTCATTTGGAACGGTCAGCACGAATACTCAAGACATGTTGGTACCATCCCAGGAGTGAGAAAGGAAAGAGTTAGTCCAAAGGAGGAAAGACCACAGCTGCATGTTGTCAGTGCAGCGACTGCCCAGAGAGCAGGACTGGGCCAGCTAGTGTAAAGCCATTCCCCCAGCATACTGTAATGCTGCTCAGGACAAGGCTAGCTGGCACTAGCAGGCAGACCTCAGGGAAGTACTAGAAATGAACAGTTTTTAATAAACTCTAGCTGCTCAAAGTTCCCCTTTCTGGTTAAGTACATTTAGAAATGAGAGTGAAGGCAGCCATTTTGACCATCGCTTAAAACCTGACTGCGGGAAGCTTGTTTGTTTTTATTCTGCTCTGAAGAGCTTCAGATACAGCAGCCAGATGGACCTGAAGAACCTGGCCTCATGGTATCAGACATTTTTTGACAGTTCACATGAGCCAATCACCAAATTACCACCACCATCTAGCTCTTCAATCATACTTTTCATCCAGAGATCTCAAAGCTCTTTTCAAAGAAAGTCGGCATCATTATCCCTATTTTACAGCTGACGAAACTGAGGCATGGAGTAGGAGAGTGACTTCCCAAGGTCACCCAGAGGGCCGTGGCTGAACCCAAAGTAGAACATAGAGCGAGCGCTGGACTGGGATTCAGGAGACCTACTAGGCCAAATCGCTTGCCAATCAAGACTCTAGTCTATTTACAAAATTATACAATGTCATGGTTTTGTAGACAAAAGCCTCTACAGTTGATTGGTATGCAAGAAAATTAAGCCTCAATATAAATATCTTGCATGCATCTGAAACAGGAGTAATTTAGAATGGGGGGGGGGTTCTTTCCACTTTGTTACAAGGAAGTTGTTCCTATTTTCATGAAAGGATAGGACTATTTGAAAACTTGTTTTCAGAAGACAAACTGAGAAACCTTGATAATTTGTGGGAGTGCCAGAATAAGCAAAGTAAACCTGAAGAAAATAAGTATCCTTAAGTTTTGAACAGGCTTAACAGTGGTTAAAAAAAGATTCCAGGAGAAAGGCAACCAAACAAGAGTAAAAAATAAATGGTTTTAGCTATGCAGTGCCGCTACAGCATGTTAAATACAAAACAGGGGCATACCATTCTTTCCACGAACGAGATCTTCTACTAGAGGTCTAGCCACAACATCAAAGAGCGCTTTCTGAGTGACAAGAGTTCCAAATACTTCCTTAAACGTATACTGCGTCTTGGGAAAAGAAAAAAACACTAGCACATTCCAGACAGAAGAAAAAGCCACCCTCCTTCCCGCAAGATAATAAGAGGTTAGAACTGTATTTGATTAGGAGGATGAGGAACTGGATGCGTGCACAGTGTGTGGTCCCGTGATGGAACTGAAGGGGAGTGTGTTGTGGAGCTGCAGAGCTGAAGCCTGTTTCAACATGCGTTGAAGTCAGAGGGATTCTTTCCACTGACTTCAATGAGCATTAGATCAGGCCCTTGATAGTATGTTAACATATTATGCTTGGGAATTAAAGGCATGCGAGTTGAGGTTATTGTGGATGTTAAGTGGTTAGTTCCCTGATTTTCAGCGATTGAGTTTAAGCCATTTAACTCTTAAATTAAGAGCTTAGTGTGAGAATAAATACATAGTTTAATCAAACAGTTTACAAAAAAGTGAATTTTAGAAGCCAGCCCTCTGTAGATTGATATATGAACTGTATGGCATGCCTATGATAAACAGATTAGCTCCAAAGTTTGCTGGACAAAGTCAGCATGAGCATTAGCTATCAACTTGCCCATTTTAAATTTGTTTCTACTGCTAGTCTTAAAAAGTACTATACCTCCCTGTATTCCCCATTCCGGAATATTCTGTATCCATCAGGAGGATGAATCTGAACTGTTGTTTCACTGATCACTTCTATGCAACACTCCTGATCCTGAACACTTAGGGGACGCACTCTGCAGTACACCTGATGGAACAGAAGTCGGTTTTCTTAGAATAAAAAGTAGTAATAATAAATAATAATAAAAAGGCAGTCTACTTTGGTTCCGTTTTTTTGACACAGCAAGGTGAAATTAACATTTTGATGTTTGCCACTACAGTTTACATGCACCTTCGAAAGTTAAAAACATTTATACATAAAGTTTATTTTAATACCCCAAGACATTTGGTCAATTGAATCTACATTAGCCAACCGTTCCCACCTAGTGATATTTGTGCAGTGTATTTCATGCTGCAGAATGCTTAATTTGTTCTACTTTAAAGTCACCAAAGAAATCGTTTTATCTCAGCATCTTATAATTATGTACCAGATCATATGTACTTGAAAATACACGTGATTTACAAAAAAAAAAAAAACACAACGACCCACATGAAGAAATTCCCTGGCTGCTTCTCTTCAGAGAAATTCCTACTATGGCAGTGACAGGACAATTTTAAGACCTCCCCCCCCAAATTTGTCCAGTGCCAAAAGATTAACAAAGTCACTCTTTTAACAGATTTGTGTCTACTTCTGTCACTTGCCACTGCATACTGACAGTGCTGTCCTTGAAAATCTTTCTACTCAAAATTACCACATAAGAGTCCCAGATTTAGATTCTGGAGCACACACTGCCCTTGTGGGTAAAGGACTGTCTGTCAAGTGCCTCCCATCAACCCAGGAGTGCCACTGACAGATTCTTATGATCCCATACAATCCTTGTTGGCAAGAAGTAAAGTTATAACTCAGGACCTTGAGCCACAGAATCAGGGAAAGATGAGAGGGGAGTAAAACTCTGCTGGGGATGGGGAAGAAGAGAGAAATTGAGGGAATATTCTCTGCCACTACATGGCTTTCCTCCCCCTTCATTCCTCAGAACCACAGATGGGATTCACCAGAAAGAAAGCAGAAAAACATTGAAGAAATGGATTAGAAATGCATAAGCCTGATCACAACAAGTGGATTCCAAAAAGACTTAAGCACAGGTATAAATAAGCCTGTACAACAGAAGGAGAGGTAGGGGCTACTTTCAGCTCATCAGCATTATGTCAGGCACACACAAACCAAGGAGACCACAGTGCTAGTAGAAAGTTAATCATAGAAATTAGACTCACTGGGCTGCCAGTCAGCTGTTTTGTAGAAACATTCTCAGCCATTAACACTATGGCACCATTTCTGAAATGTTATTAAGATTTACCCCAAACAGCCTCTCAAAGCTACAGTAGGTTTGCTTTCCAGTTGACCTGGAAGAGCAAGACGGGAAAGCAAGACACCTTACCCCAACTGGATCTTTCAGATTTGTGTTGGATGACTTCTTTAGCACTGGTTTTCTAGGAGTTTTAGTTCTACTGAAAATAAAGAACTGAAAGTTAGACTCGTCATCTAGTCACACGATACATACATTGATTAGCATAGTTCTACCTAAAGAACATTAACTTGCCTCTCCCCAACAATCTTTTAGACTAACATTCCAACATCAGTGATCTACCTACATCTCTTTAGGAAAACATGGGCCACTTATGGAAACAGGACACCATTGCTCCAAAATGGCAAGTCATAGGCTCCTAAGACCTTGTATTCACTGCTGAAGGCTTTTGTTTTTGATTCTTGTCTCAGGGTAAAAAACATGAGAGCTATCCAGAGATACAGGCACAGTGAAGACAAAGCATTTTACTTTTACCTAAGGTAAAATAGGAGATGTCAGGATTGTACTGTAATACTTACTTAAACAGGGATTTATTGCAACTAAACTTGGACAGATTAGATTTTGTAATCGATAAGTGTCAATAAACATCAATTTAATCATAAACACACAAACTAAAAAAATACTTCCATCGATAATCATCAAAATGTATAGATAGTTTTCAGGCAGCATTTTTTTCTTTGCCTGTTTGATTTAAGACTATTTACTATGTATATTTTGACATGTGATGTTGACAATGCGTTTTAACAGTATAAAGCTTTAATTTTTTGAATCAATAAATAATTATTGTCTGACCAGCTCCCAAAAATTGGGGATTGGTCCTGCTTTGAGCAGGGGGTAGGACTAGATGACCTGAGGTCCCTTCCAACCCTGATATTCTATGATTCTATATCAAATTCTGCCAAGCCTAATAACAGAGAAAGTAATCATTAATAAATAATAAAAATATTTTCAGAACCCTCTCTTCCGGTCTTCAAACCCCCAACCTCATCATCACAAGCAAGTTACTCACAGACCAGGACTCACCAACTCAAAGCGGTAACAGAACCTGTCGCAAAGACAGATGCAAAACCTGCAGACATATCCCCACTGTTACAAAGATCAATAACCCCACAACAGACCTTTCAAGATCCATGGGTCCTACAAATGCCCATCACATCATGTGATGTACCTGATCCAGTGCACTAAATGTCCCCAATAAAAATAATGTGGGTGAAAACAGACAATCACTAAGCTCTCAAATGACATACCAAAAAAAGATAACAGACAAACACACCATATCACCCAAGGGCAAACATTTTTCACAATACAATTACTCCAGTTCTGATCTCTCAGTCGTCATCTGCAAAGGAAACCTGCACAACGCTTTCTAACACAAGTCTGGGAGTTTAAATTCATAACTTTGCTAGACACTAAAAATCACAGTCTAAAGAATACTGGATTTCTGGCTTATTACTGCAATCTGTAACCCACTAACCCCCCTTTTTTGTCTTATGACTCCAGTGGTGTTAACAGCCATTTCACCTTGAATGGTCCCTTACAATGTGCAACTGCTTATGATAAACAATCTGTTCCACCATGTATTTAGTTGTGACACTCTGAGTACTTTTCCCAGACCAGATGAAGAGGTCTGTGTAGCTGGAAAGCTTGTCTCTCTCACCAGTAGAAGCTGGTCCAGTAAAAGATGGCTTGGTCTACACTACAGAGTTAGGCCAACATAAGGGAGCTTATGTTGACCTAATTATGTCAGCGTACACACTCCAGCCTTGCTCCCACTGATGTAAGCGCCCTACTACACTGCCATTATAACTCCACCTCCACGAGAGGTGTAGGGCTTATGTCGGTGTAGTCAGGGCGACGCAGTGTGTGTGTGTAGACACTGTGTTACTTACATCCGCTGTTGGCTGTCATTCAGGCAGGAGCCATGAAACTGACAAGAAAGCTGGGCTCCTGGCAGGGAGGAGCTGTGTGTGGAGCTGACAGCCCAGGCTCTCAGCCCCCCACGCTGCCCCTGTTAAGTCAGTAGAAGCACTCCTCATGGGGATGGCGCACCACAGACAAAAGGAGGGTAACGGGGACATGAGCCACTGCACTAATCACTGTGATGGTTGTAAGTCGACCTAACACAGGCCAACTTAGCCCTGGTCTACACTAGAACTTTAGGTCGAATTTAGCAGCGTTAAATCGATGTAAACCTGCACCCGTCCACATGATGAAGCCCTTTATTTCAAATTAAAGGGCTCTTAAAATCGATTTCCTTACTCCAACCCTGACAAGTGGATTAGCGCTTAAATCGGCCTTGCCGGGTCGAATTTGGGGTACTGTGGACACAATTCGACGGAACTGGCCTCCAGGAGCTATCCCAGAGTGCTCTGTTGTGACTGCTCTGGACAGCACTCTCAACTCACATGCACGATTGTTTGCCGTTGCTCTGACGCAGGGAGGGGCGACTGACAACACAGCTTACAAGGTTGGCTTACAGGGAGTTAAAATCAACAAAGGGGGTGGCTTTACATCAAGGAGTATTTCAGGCAGGACTTCACGGAGGGTTCCAATAAGAAATGGTGCACCTATGTTATTGTTCTTATTGGAACAAGGAGGTTAGTCTGGCCTCTGATTGATACATGGCTAGATTTACCTCGCTGCACCTTCTCTGTGAGTGACTGCAGTGTGACCTAGAGGAATGAGTCCCCTAGACAGGGGGCAGGGGGGTGGTTTGCAAATGAGTACAAAACAAATCTGGTCTATTTCTTGTTTTGATACACTTCATCTATCTTTTACATCTTTTGCTGGCAGCAGACGGTGCAGAAGGACTGCATGCCATCCACATCTCATGGCTGCTCTGCAGAAGATGGTACAATAGGACTGATAGCCATCCTCATCTCTTGCCTGCCCGGCAGAAGATGATTCAATAGGACTGCTAGCAATCCGTATCACCTGCCTGCTCACCATAAGATGGTTCAATAGGACTGACTGCAGGACTAAAGAGAATGACCTAATCAAGTCACTCCAAATTTAGTCCCTGCGCCCATGTCTGCCCAGGCGCTCCCAGCCGACGTGGCCAGGAGCACCTCGGACATGACGATGACGGCTAACAGTCCTATTGCACCGTCTGCTGCCATAAGGCAAGGGGTTGCTGCTACTGTGTAGCAATGCCATACCGCGTCTGCCAGCACCCAGGAGACATACGGTGACAGTGAGCTGAGCGGGCTCCATGCTTGCCGTGGTATGGCGTCTGCACAGGTAACTCAGGAAAAAAGGCACGAAACGATTGTCTGCCCTTGCTTTCCCGGAGGGAGGGAGGGAAGGGGGGCCTGACGATATGTACCCAGAACCACCCGCGACAATGTTTTAGCCCCATCAGGCATTGGGATCTCAACCCAGAATTCCAATGGGCAGCGGAGACTGCGGGAACGGTGGGATAGCCACCCACAGTGCGACGCTCCGGAAGTCGACGCTTGCCTCGGTCCTGTGGAAGCGCTCCGCCGAGTGAATGCACTTAGAGCATTTTCTGTGGGGACACACACACTCGAATATATCAAACCGATTTCTAAAAAACCGACTTCTATAAATTCGACCTAATTTCGTAGGGAATAGGTTTTACTGGACCAGCTTCTGTCGGTGAAAGAGAGGGGCTTTCCAGCCTACAGAGCGATGTGCCTCCCGCTACCAGCCCGGGACAAACAGGGCTACGCCGCCGCTGCAAAGCCTAAGAACACACCAGACGCGGGCCTGACACGAGGCTAAGGAGCCAACACCCGCCGCTGGCAGGGGGCTGACCGCCTCAGTACCCACATGGGGCTGACCTCACCGCGCAACTGCACGGCCGGCTTTCCCGGTCCTGGCCGCTACGGGGTCAACTTCGCCGGGTCTTTAGCACAAGCGGGGCGTTTCTCAGGCCCGCCGCTCGGCCCGCTCCGACGGCAGCGGCCAGCCCCCGTCACGCCGCTTGTTGCGCACGCGGGATCCTTGCCGGGTGCGGGGTGGGCAGGACGGGGGGGGGGGGGTGACTTTCGCCGGCCAAGGCCCCGGCCCGCCCCCCACCACACACACACACACACACACACACACACACGCACGCTTCCCCCTCACCGCGCTCGGCGGGGCGGCTCAGCCAGCCGGGGGCCTTCCTACCCGCCGCCGGCCTCGAGTGGGGCAAGAGCTGGGCTGGCCGGGGGAGGGCGGCGACCTGAGGCCCCCGGCAGTAGAGCCGGGCCGGGGGGTTCCCGCGCGGGGGGGGGGGGGTCTGCCCCATACTCACGCCGCCTTCATGGTGCCGGGGCCGCTCTCTCGGGTCCCGGGACGGTGGCCGGGCGGGCCGGGGACGGTGGCCGGGCGGGGCCGCTCTGCCGAGGCCTGCGCGGGGCCGGCAGGAGGGTCGGGGGGTCTCTCTCACTTAGGGATGATTCGATTTGAACTGTCCCTCCGCTCCCATCGGGCCGCGCGCTGCTGCGATTCAAATCCGGCCAATCAGAGGGCGCCGTGCGGCTGAGCGTCGCCACGCAACGCGTGTGGCGTGCCGGAGCGTCACGGACCATCGTCGTCCCCATGGAGACGCCGACAGGGGCGCCCAGGCTCGAGGTGCGGGGACGAGGCCTGGGGCAGCAGGGCGGGGCGGGGCGGGAGCCCGGGCTCTGGCCTCGCTGCGAGCCGGGGACCGCGGGCGGTGTAGGCCGGCGAGCCCCGGGTGGCGCTCGGGGCAGGCCCAGAGGGGAGAGAGCCCCCCCCCCCCGCGCGTGCTCTGGGGACCCGCTGCCTAGGACGTTCCCCTGGGCGGGTTTCCCGTTTCTTTCCCTCCCCTGCTGGCTGCAGGGTACCCGGGGTAGTAACGAGACGGCGCGGGGGGGAGCTTTTGTTTACTGATAGCGGAGTAGCAGAGAGCGTGTAAAAGTGTTCCCTCCCCCACCTTGTCTCGCTGCTTCCCTCCGAGCCCGGGCAGGAGAGAAGGCGCCCATCGTGCCCGAAGCCTGAGCCTCGGGGCATGAGCCTTCCCGGGGCTTCAATTTCTACGCCCTGAAGTTACTGAGGACAGCAGGAAGCTGTTAATTTTCTGCCAGCAAGGGACTGCCCCCTAGGAAAGTATCCTTAGTGCTGAAACCGAAAGTGTGGTCATTGGGACGTGTGACAACAGCCAGAAAGCTAACAAACAAGCCCAATGAGGGACCCAAAGTGGGTAGATTAACGGGCCAAATGCCCTAGCTTCATGTTATTATTTACTATAGTCGTTATCCATCCTTTAGATTTATACAAACTACAAGAAGAAGAATCCATCCACTGCTCTGGGCACCCTTGATATAAATATATCTATTTAACTACGCAAAAATAAGCAGATGTATCAGTTTCCCTAGATCAGCTTAATTACACAGCAGCAATATGACTATAGTGGAAATGAATCAATCCCCTGAGTCCCACCCTCTGCCCTACTTGTTTCCTCTGGACCTCAGGAGAAAAGGTGGTGCCTCTAATGGGCCCTGAAGGCTGAGGAAGTTGGGCTGTTTCAGACCTGGAGAGGAAGCAAGTTCCAAAGGCCCAGGGCCCTAACAGAGAATATCCTGCCTGCTAGCCAGTTTCCAAATAGATTTAATATGGAGAGCATACTACAGTGTCTAATCTCAAGGTGACAAAGGCATAGGTGATGGTTGCAAGGACTGCATCCAAAAAAAAAGGAGGGGGGGGGCAGGGTGCATTACCTCCTAGCTCTCCATAGATGGGAAAAAGGCCAACTTGGCAATAGCAGCTACCTGATCTTCTAGCAACAGCCATGATCTGATTGCTCTGAAGATTGCAAATCCCAGCCACCAAAGGCAGGACCACATCTCAGTCAGTGGGCAGAAATAATCCACTCATCTCTTCTGGTTGCTTTTGTCAATCAACCAACATCACCTCAGTCTTATGTGAACTGAATCTCAGCCAGTTAGCCCTCATCCATGCCCCAGTTTTTCCGTGACATTAAGTAATACATTCAGCAGCTCCTGGTAATCAGTGGGGTGGAGATGAAGAACATTGGACCTAAGAGGTGGACTAATGTAATTCTCAGACTAAGGATGGGATATGGACTAGGCATAATATTATGGGAAGAGAGTTAGTGTTGGGAGCCTGGGGTAAAATAAAGACTAGGGTTAAAAAGGAAGAGGTTAAATTCAAGCGGCATCATACTATGTAGCATCCTGGCTGATGTTCCCTTTAGTTTTTTTACATCCATGTGCAGAATGAATTTTGTTATATGCACCAATATGGAGGTGATGTGTGGCTGGGGTGGAGCCAAGGGGTTCAGAGTGTGGGAGGGGGCTTAGGGCTGGGGCAGAGGATTGGGATGCAGGGTAGTGAGGGCTCTGGCTGGGGGTGTGGGCTCTGGGGTTGGGCTGGGAATGAGGCGCTTAGGGTGCAGGGTGCCCCACAGCTGCGGCAGGGAGAGAGGATTCCCCCCAGCTCTCTCTTGCCTACAGCAGCTCAGGGGTGGGGAGAGCACCTCTCCGCGGTGGCAGCTTCGGGGGGGGCAGGGCCAAGGCACCTCTCCCCCTGTGTGGCTGCACAGTTTAGAGGGAACTTAGAGCCTGGCACTGGATCAGGAATGGATAGAAATGACAGACATATCCAAAGGTGAAAGTAAGTTAGAGGACTTACCAGTACACAGGAGTCCTGAGTAGGGGGCGTGGCCTCAATCAGAAGAGGCAGGGCCTTAAAGCCCCGGGTCCTTTAAATCACTGAGGAGCCCTGGGGGCTCCCGGCTGCCACCGCTACCCCGGGGCTCTGGCAGAGCTTTAAAGGGCCTGGGGCTCTGCTAGGGTAGCAGCTGCTAGAGCCCCGAGCCCTTTAAATCCCCACCTGAGCCCTGCTGCCCGAGCCCTGGGGTAGGGGCGGCAGGGCTCTGGCGGGAATTTAAAGGGCTCCGGCAGCCGCTACCGCCCCAGCCCTTTAAATCTCTTCCAGCCCTGCCCTCGCTACCCCAGGGCTTCAGCAGCAGGGCTCCAGCGGGGATTTAAAGGCCCGGGTCGGTAGCAGTGGCTGGAGCTCTGGGGCCCTTTAAATACCCGCCAGAGCCCTGCCGCCGCTACCCCAGGGCTATGGCAGCAGGGCTCAGGCGGAGATTTAAAGGGCCCCAGAGCTCCAGCAGCCGCTACTGCCCTTTAAATCCCCTCCGGAGCCACACCGCCGCTACTCCAGGGCTTCGGCAGCAGGGCTCCAGTGGGGATTTAAAGGGCTGGGGCAGTAGCAGCGGCTGGAGCTCTGGGGCCCTTTAAATCCCCGCTGCCACTACCCCAGGGCTTTAAATTGCTGTCTGGGAAAGCCAGTCCTGGTACGGCGCACCGGCTCTTACGGGTACACCGTACCAGTGCATACCGGCTTACTTTCACCTCTGGACATATCTCAAACAGTGTAACTTTATCCTGGACAGATACCTGCCATCTCTGTCTCTTTTTTTACACTTTGGCCACACTTATATAGCTTGCCACGCCAATAAAGTACCACTGAATTGAAATATATAACTGAAATAATGTTCTGGATTTATTTGGTCTTAAACTTGAAGGGCTTTGCCTATTTCTCGGTTGGGAGTCTGATGTACAGGATGGAAATTAAGGTCAGTGTTTGGGACAGGATAGGTCAAAGATTGGTCTTCAGTTTGCAGGACTCTGTGTTTGGAATACAGACATAGTAGAGAGGCTGAAGGAAACAAACAGTTATTCTGGCATTCTTCACATGTAATAATATGACAAGACCAATTCTTCATAAATAGACTTTATTTCTTTACATCTGTATAGCTTAATTTATTGTATAGTTTTGAATGTGTATCTCACACATTATAATGAATCTGGCTTCTGTTTCCATATGCTGTTCCAAGATCAGAAAATGTTGCAATGACACACATTTTAATAGAGCAAATTAGTTAAGTGTCAGACCAGATCCCCCTGTGACACTACTGGAGGGTCTAGAAGGATGAAGGAGCAGCTACCATGTCCAACAGAAACCTGTTGTTTTACAGGTAGTCCTCCTATGAACCGCTGCATCTTTGAAGTTATCTAAGTGTGGCTGTGTAGTAGTCACAGAAAATAGGACTTATTGAATCTGAAAAGTTAGACTACCAACTGAGAAAGAAGTTGTACCGGTTAATTAATTAATGAATGCTGTTGAATCTTAAATCATTTCTTGCAAACAAAACCAGACTCTTTCCCAGTTATACTAAAAGACAAGATAGATAAACAGTACATATTAGCACTTTTCTTGTCATGGTTATGATTTTTTTAATTAAATAAAATGTTGGATAAGATCATTATGTTCCAGTGCCAATAAATGTTAATAGCAATCTTGATCAGCTCTCAGAAGAAAGTAAGATCATTTCCAAGTTGTGTTTTTCCCAGAATATATTTAAAGATTTTGTTGTACTGTCAACCCAAAGTGCATCTATTACACCTCGATGGAGGCTACTATTTGCAAAACATATAATAAACCAACACAATTATCAGGAAGCTTGATAATCTCATTGTAATTTTCTGCATTACATGTTTATGTACCTAATAAAAATATTATATTCCAAGGTATTAGATAATCCAATATGCAATCAAGTCACAGATAACCTCAAAGCCTGAGACATAAGAGACTCCTATGTATAAAAAACAGTTGTGAAAATACTCTAACGGACATTACAACCTGGCCTAGTACCTCTCTGGTCACCAGCTGAGTGCAAGTCGGTCCTATTGCAGGATGCCATCTGCTTCCAAGCCAAAATTTATTACCCCAGATTGCAATTTTGATGGCTTCTCAGTGATAGTTTTTCAATGAGGTGTCTGCTACAGCAGGTGCATACTTGGGGGAGGTTTAATTAGGAGCAGTGGAGGCTTGATTCTCCTCTCATTCACATTACTGTAAATCAGGAGTAACATGGAAGTCAGTGGAACTACCCCAATATAAGACTGATGTCAGGGCCTGAATTACACCTCATTGTACTCAATGGAAAACACCCACTGACTGATCAGGCCCTAAACAAGTGCAGAATCAGGCCAAGGAAATTTAGACTAAATACCAGAAAAACATACAGTGAACTCAGACTGGAATAATCTCCATAGGGAAGAACTGAAAGGCCCAATCCTAGGGACATTTCAACTAGGATTCTACAGTGAAATCCTTGCTCTTATTGAAGTCTGTTGCAAAAAAAGTGCCATTTACTTCAGTAGGCTCAAGATGTTACCCTACTTATTAAATATATAAAATATAGACACTTATGCCTATGAACTGACATAAGCACAATGTACCATCATGTTATAATCAAAATAATCAAGTTTCCTGGTTCTTCCCTAAAGCAGTCGAAAGCAACACAGATAAATGGCCGTTGGACTTAGAAGATGGTATCACACTGAGTTTTATCATTTGGATTAAATCTGCCCTTCAAATACTGACTTGCAAAATATGACACTTCTCCCTTTTACAGTGTTTTA